CCCCCCCCGGGGAAAGCCAAGTGCTCCCCGGAGCAAAAATATGTCCAACAATAAATCAACTGGCATTGCTGGCCCTGCCCCCCGCCCACGAAAAATCTGAAGTGCCCCCCCCCCCCATTTGGAAATTTCTGAAATAATCACTGCATGAGACACGTATCATTAGACCAAGATGACAGGCTTATCATTTGACCAAGATGACAGGCTTATCATTAGACCAAGATGACAGGCTTATCATTAGACCAAGATGATAGACTTACATTTGACCAAGATGACAAGCTTACATTAGACCAAGATGATAGGCTTATCATTAGACCAAGATGACAGGCTTATCATTTGACCGAGATGACAGGCTTATCATTAGACTAAGATGATAGGCTTATCATAAGATCAAGATGACAGGCTTATCATTAGACCAAGATGACACGCTTATCATTAGACCAAGATGATAGGCTTATCATTAGACCAAGATGACAGGCTTACATTTGACCAACATGATAGGCTTATCATTAGACCAAGATGATAGGCTTATCATTAGACCAAGATGATAGGCTTATCATTAGACCAAGATGATAGGCTTATCATTAGACCAAGATGACAGGCTTACCTTTGACCAATATGATAGGCTTATCATTAGACCAAGATGATAGGCTTATCATTAGACCAAGATGATAGGCTTATCATTAGACCAAGATGACAGGCTTATCATTAGACAAAGATGACAGGCTTATCATTTGACCAAGATGATAGGCTTATCATTAGACCAAGATGATAGGCTTATCATTAGACCAAGATGACAGGCTTACCTTTGACCAATATGATAGGCTTATCATTAGACCAAGATGATAGGCTTATCATTAGACCAAGATGACAGGCTTATAACTAGACAAAGATGACAGGCTTATCATTTGACCAAGATGATAGGCTTATCATTAGACCAAGATGATAGGCTTATCATTAGACCAAGATGACAGGCTTATCATTTGACCAAGATGATAGGCTTATCATTAGACCAAGATGATAGGCTTATCATTAGACCAAGATGACAGGCTTACCTTTGACTAATATGATAGGCTTATCATTAGACCAAGATGATAGGCTTATCATTAGACCAAGATGATAGGCTTATCATTAGACCAAGATGACAGGCTTATAACTAGACAAAGATGACATGCTTATCATTTGACCAAGATGATAGGCTTATCATTAGACCAAGATGATAGGCTTATCATTAGACCAAGATGACAGGCTTATCATTAGACCAAGATGACAGGCTTATCATTAGACCTAGATGACAGCCTTATCATTAGACCAAGATGACATGCTTATCATTAGACCAAGATGACAGGCTTATCATTAGACGAAGATGACAGGCTTATCACTAGACTAAGTTGACAGGCGTATTATTAGACCAAGATGACTGGATTAGCACTAGACCACGATAAGGCTAAGCACTAGAACAAGATTACAAGCTTAAAACTAACCAACATGAGACTCTTATTACCAGATTAACATGGAACTCTTAGCACTAGACCAACATGGAACTCTTAGCACTAGACCAACATGGAACTCTTAGCACTAGACCAACATGGAACTCTCAGCAAAAGACCAACATGGAACTCTTAGCACTAGACCAACATGGAACTCTTAGCACTAGACCAACATGGAACTCTCAGCAATAGACCAAAATGGAAATCTTAGCACTAGACCAACAAGGAAGTCTTAGCACTAGATCAACATGGAACTATTAGCACTAGACCAACATGGAACTCTTAGCACTAGACCAACATGGAACTCCTAGCACTAGACCAACATGGAACTCTTAGCACTAGACCAACATGGAACTCTCAGCAAAAGACCAACATGGAACTCTTAGCACTAGACCAACATGGAACTCTTAGCACTAGACCAAAATGGAACTCTTAGCACTAGACCAACATGGAACTCTTAGCACTAGACCAAAATGGAACTCTTAGCACTAGACCAACATGGAACTCTTAGCACTAGACCAAAATGGAACTCTTAGCACTAGACCAACAAGGAAGTCTTAGCACTAGATCAACATGGAACTATTAGCACTAGACCAACATGGAACTCTTAGCACTAGACCAACATGAACTCTTAGCACTAGACCAACATGGAACTCTTAGCACTAGATCAAAATGGACCTCTTAGCACTAGACCAACATGGAACTCTTAGCACTAGACCAACATGGAACTCTCAGCAATAGACGAACATGGAACTCTTATCATTAGACCAACATGGAACTCTTAGTACTAGACCAAAATGGAACTCTTAGCACTAGACCAACATGGAACTCTTAGCACTAGACCAAAATGGAACTCTTAGCACTAGACCAACATGGAACTCTTAGCACTAGATCAAAATGGAACCCCTTTACGGTAGACCAAGATGAAGCCCTATACACTAGATCAAGATGAAACCTGTTACACTAGACCAAGATGAGACCATTTAACCTAGGCCAAGATGAGACCATTTACAATAGACTGAGATGAGACTCTTAACACTTATGGTAAACACCAGCCTCTTCCTTGCTAGCACTTGTAAAATTGGAAAGGTTATTTCAGTCCCTGAAATTTCTTTTGCAAATAATGAACAAATCAAATCTATTATGAACAATTCTGATCTATTATGAAAAACTATAATCGCTTATGAGCAATTATAATCAATTATGAAACTTTATAATCAGTTATGAAAAATATAATCAATTGGTGAAAAGTTATCATCAATTATTAACAATTATAATCAATTTTGCTATGAAATACTATGCCTCTATCACACATGTATTTTTTTTTTTCAAGTCAAGCCAATAGTTATACTGTAATGTTCTACCTCAAACATAGTGCAGCACATTGTCAAATAGATAACATACATCTTGTTACTGGTGAAAAGTCTGATCTAAATCTAGATAATTAGATCATTATAGATCAATTGAGAAGTCATAGATCATTTTAGAAGGTGAATAGAACACGGGTAATATCAATAGTTTTAGTCGTTTCTTTATTCCTAATTTTTTATTATCCCTCATTATCGAATCATGTTGACCAAATTATGTGACAGATAATATTAAAAAAACCCAGAGCTTTACGTGCATATAATTCTCATAGGAACGCGTCATGATATCGTGAGGTACTGTCTAAATCCATGCTATGATTCATCCGAATTTCCCGATTCATTACCCAGTAAAATGTATTATTTTCAATTGCATAAAATCAAACATTTTAATTGCATATTTTTCCTGATGCCTGCAGATGTATTTAGACCAGTGTTTCCCATCTCTTATGTGGTCTGTAACACCCCCCCCCCTTTTTTTTTTACAATTTTGTCTAACAGTCTCTCATCCCTTACAGAAGTAACAATGCATTTTAAATATGTTACAAAAATCGAATTCTCATTAACTTGTCGATTTTCCAAAGGAAGCTATTTTCTCAGTCTGACTTATTCATTAACGTAAAATGTTCATGAAGAAAAATAAACATGTATATCGTTTCTTAAAAATCAACGGCTTCTCTATGGGAAAAATCATATTTTGCGCACCACCGTAACTGCCACCTCACACCCGTTGTGTGCGATAAACCAAGTTTCGGAAACTCTGCCTTCCTTAGACAGTTTAATATTTGAACAAACTATATCTTTTCCTTCAGCTCGCGAGTTCAAGAAACTCGGGTTCGGAAACCCTGCCTTAGAGAGTTCAGTGTCTCTCGCTATACACTTACTATGCCAATTTTAACAAGTTAAATACATACAATGTCTTTAACAGTTTTAACATGTCTTTCCATACAATATCTATAACAATTTAAACAAGTCTTTCCATAAAATATCATACCAGATAAAACAGGTCTTTTCCATACAATATCTATAACAGATAAAACAGGTCTATTCCATACAATATCTAAAACAGACAAAACAGGTCTATTCCATACAATATCTATAACAGATAAAACAGGTCTATTCCATACAATATCTAAAACAGATAAAACAGGTCTACTCCATACAATATCTAAAACAGATAAAACAGGTCTATTCCATACAATATCTAGAACAGTTTCAACACGTCTTTTTCATACAATATCTACAATAGATCAAACAGGTCCATGCCATACAATATCTATTCCTTTCCACAGTTGCCCCTAGGCAGTGCCAAAAACGTCCAGGTGCCCGTGGATGAAACCAATCCACACAGACTTTTAGATCTTCTTCAGCTCAAAGCCGCAATGTCTGATCGCGTCGCGCCGCGGGCGCCGCGGTCCGCCCTGGACACCAAGGTCCTCGACAACAGCGCTCAGCTCGGCGTCAACAAACGGGTCTTCTGTAACGGCTTCACCGGCTGCGGGGGCCGGTTTCGACAGAGGAGGCGGCACAAGAGGCCGTTCTGCAACACGAACGGATGCTACAACAGCGGCAAAAAGAGGGCGTACGAGATCGAAAGCGAGACGAGAGACGACGCCACGGAGCTGGGCCCCCAGGCGGCGGACGAAGGATGGACTGGAGAGAAGCTGAAGAAGCTCTTCTGCAACGGTTACGGTGGGTGTCAGAACATGGGGAAGCGGGCGCGAGTAGGAGAACCGTCGGGTAACCAAGAGGAAGGCCTCCTCCCATTCCCCAGAGAAGAGATGAAGAAGCGGTTCTACTCGGCAGGATATGATGAGGACATGGATGACCTAGCAAATAAGATGGGGAGGTGAACAGGTGATAATGTGTTTATTTTACTTATTCCCCCTTCAGCCCCCCACCCCCCCAAATCCCCCTCATATTTATGTCGTATAATTTGGATACTGTTCATTTCCACTTCTTATTTTGTCCTGTTGATTTTTTACTTCTTCTTTTTAGTCCTGTTTGTTTCCCTTTCTCATTTTGTCCTGTTTATCTTCCTTTCTTTTTTTGGTCTTATCTCTCTTTCTTATTTTGTCCTGTTTATTTCCCTCTCTTATTTTATACTGCTAATTTCTCCTTATTATTTTATCCTATTTCCCCTTCTTATTTTGTCCTGTTAATATTTCCTTTTCTGATTTTGTCCTGTTCATTTCCCCTTCTTATTGTGTCCTGTTTATTTCCTCTTGTTATTGTGTTCTCAGGGGATGGCTCTTACATATTTATTTCAAACTAACTGCATGTCCAAATATGAGCAGTACTATCCGCTCTCGGTCCACTGATGCTGGTGAGGTGTCCCAGGGAAATACTGTTGGCGATCTGTTGTGGACAATAAGGGTGGGCTTAAAACACTGTCCATCTATCGCCGGCCTGGTCTTCCTCTGGCTCTGAACCGGAGTGCCTGCTGCTGTGGCCATTCTGACCATAAAGGCCAAATCAATTTATTTCCTTGTAGTTTCATGTGTGTGTAAAACAAAAAAGATGTGATTTGGATTTTTTTTTTTTAAAAATTTTTAAAACCGAAATTAAGAAAAACACAACAACCAACAACAGCAGTTTATTTAAAGGTCAACTTTAGTAAGGTCACATGACAGTCTGAGTGCTAAATGAACATTTGAATGAAACATGTTCCAATGAATTTGTACCTGGTGAGTGGAATCGAATTTTCTTCGTATCATCAGTCTTATTCTGTAATCTGGAAAGCCCAGTAGAGATCGCAGAAGTACGCCGTTCAAAAATAAGAAAATTCCGATCAGTAGAGAGATTCGTTGAAAGAGATTCAATGGAATTATTTATGCAATAAAATTCATCCTGCGAAGGTTCGGGCGTATGAAGTCACACAGTCAATCTGTGGTTCAAATCATAACAAGCCAGTCGCTGACAGCTGTGACCTGACAAGCCAGTCGCTAAACAGCTGTGATCTGACAAGCCAATCGCTAACAGCTGTGACCTGACAAGCCTATCGCTAACAGCTGTGATCTGACAAGCCAATCGCTAACAGCTGTGGTGTAACGAGCTAATCAATAACAGCTGTGATCTAACAAGCCATTTCATTAACAGCTGCGTTCTAACAAGCCAATTATTAACAGCTGTGATCCAACAAGCTAAACAAAGATTAGCGATAAAGAAAATAACAATAACCAACCACTATTTATCATTTAGAATTATACATTAAACAACAAAACCTGTTCACGTTGCGGTAATTAAATATATGTATATAATTTTTTTCTCCATTTCTTTGCAGCTGAATGTTTCCTATATCCTGTGTTTTGATGCCCCTTTTTTATAAAGTCTGGACGTCTCCAACAGTTCTTAGGGGGTTAGTAGGCACAGGCAGACACATTGATGGACGCTCAGCAGTTTATTTAAATTTTCGAAATCTCTGAAACGTCGAAAAGGGGGTGGGGAAGAAGCGGGGAGGGGTGTAGTACTGAAGGTGGGTGTAGAACCGGGGGTGGGTGCTGTACCGAGTGGGGGTGCAGTACCAAGGGGTGGGTGCAGTACTGAGGGTGGGTGTTATACTGAGGTCAGGGTGGGTGTAGTACTGAGGGAAGGGTGGGTGTGGTACTGAAGGTGGTTGCAGTACTGAGGATGGGTGTAGTACTGAGGGCAGGGTGGGTGTAGTACTGAGGGCAGGGTGGGAGTAGTACTGAGGGTGGGTGTAGTACTGAGGGGAGGGTGGGTGCAGTACTTAGGGCAGGGTGGGGGTAGTATGGTGTGTGGCTGAGGGCAGGGTGGGGGTAGTAGTGAGGGCGGGGTGGGGGTAGGACTGGGGGGGGGTGTGGTACTGAGGGGAGGGTGGGTACAGTACTGAGGGCAGGGTGGGTGTAGTACTGAGGGCAGGGTGGGTGTAGTACTGAGGGCAGGGTGGGTGTGGTACTGAAGGTGAGTGCCGTACTGAGGATGGGTGTAGTACTGAGGTCAGGGTGGGTGTAGTACTGAGGGCAGGGTGGGTGTAGTACTGAGGGCAGGGTGGGTGTAGTACTGAGGGAAGGGTGTGTGTGTAGTAGCGAGGGTGGGTGTAGTACTGAGGGTGGGTGAAGTACCGAGGGTGGGTGTAGTACCGAGGGTGGGTGTAGTACTCAGGGTGGGTGTAGTGCCGAGAGTGGGTGTAGTACCGAGGGTGGGTGTAGTATCTAGGGGGCTGCAGCTCCGCGGGCGTTGAGGTCGCTTTACGTGTCGGCCAGGGAGAAAAAAAAGGTGGAACAACAATGAAATGATTTGAAATTTTATTTTCTAAAACATATATTAAAGAGTTTATAAAAGATATGTTCTGTTTTTCTGTGTCTCTATGTGTGACTGACTGAACAGCTTCGTTTGCTATCATTTTGTTTCTTTTATTGCTCTTCTTTCTCCGAAGACGAACAAAAATGTGTCCAGCTTTTAAGGTAACATCATCCAAAGAATTGCGAAAAATTGTGTTTACTAAGCATTAAATCAGTGGTTCTCAACCTTCCTAATGCCGCGACTCATTTATACAGTTCCTCATGTTGTGGCGACCCCCAACCCCAAAATTATTTTCATTGCTACTTCATAACTGTAGAGCATATTATTTTCCGATGGTCTTAGGGGACCCCTGGAAAAGGGTCATTCGACCACCCCCCCAAGGGAGAGAACCGCTGCATTAAATAAATGACAAAGGACTATGTAGAACTGTGACCATCTTGAATGTATATTTGTTTGCACTGCCATTTAAAGTGTAGCTACCCAAACAATGTCTCTCTCCCTTTCTACAATATTCTAGTTCTCAACATTAGGTAAACACGTTTTCAAAAGGACACAAAATGATTAAATCTACCAAATGGCTATTCGCACCCGGGTACCAGAAGTGAGAGGTTGGGATTAAAAAGCTATGTAAAATATTTAATAGTCCCCTTAGTCTCTTAGAACACACGTCAGTTATGTGAGATGTGTCAGATCCATCAGATACGTCAGATATGTCAGATATGTCAGATATGTCAGATATGTGAGATATGTCAGATCCATCAGATATGTCAGATCCATCAGATATGTCAGATATGTCAGATCCATCAGATATGTCAAATACATCAGTTATGTCAGATCCATCAGATATGTCAGATACATCAGATATGTCAGATATGTGAGATATGTCAGATCCATCAGATAAGTCAGATCAGATATGTCAGATACATCAGTTATGTGAGATATGTCAGATACATAAGATATGTCAGATATATCAGATAAGTCAGATATGTCAGATATGTCAGATCCATTAGATATGTCAGATACATCAGTTATGTCAGATACATCAGATATATCAGAAAAGTCAGATTTGTCAGATACATCAATTATGTTAGATATGTCAGATATGTCAGATACGACAGATATGTCAGATACGACAGATATGTCAGAATCCTCCGATATGTCAGATATGTGAGATATGTCAAACATTTTATGGGTTGCTAGAGAAATAATTGATGTTAGATTTGATGAAAATAAAATTTCCCTTTAATTACGACTATTTTTCAATAATCTCCCGTCACTTTGAACGGGTTGATGCTAGTACTACATAAAAGCTATGGAAATGGACATTTGACACCAGCAGTGAACTAAAAATTTAGATCATTGAAAAGGAGCAGTTATATTTTGATTTAAAAAACGAAATTTTTCTGACAGTAAAACAAAATAAAGCAATTAAAAATTAATTTATTTTAGGAATTTCAATCATAAAATGTTTTTCACTGGGCTGAAACGTTGTCAAAAGTTAACGCCGACAATTTACTCGTTTTATTTGCTTCCCTTGTAGACTCTCCTCCCTTGTCCACGACTTAAATACCGATATCTTATTAATACTTAGTAACAGTTGACAAATGTGTGACCCTAGCTTCCTTTTGTTAAATTTGAGTTAAGAAAGTTTCCAACTCTGAAAATACTCATTAAAACTTGAAAATACTCATTAAAACTTGAACAGCTAAATCTAGCGATTAAAAAGCGATTTAAAAAAATCACCAGTAATGATAAAATTCACTACGTTACGATCAACGTATTTATTCTATGAAAAATGTATGGGTTTTTTTTTTATAATGAGATGTAACGTACTAAAAATTCTACACGGCGTTTTAAGACGAAAAGAAATAATACGATTTAAGAATTCCTGCTGATGAGCGAAGACGTGATGGAATTATAGATGGCGTCACAAACAAGATCCTACTGGGTAGGCAAATTAGGTGATGAAATATTTTGGACAGTTCATAATTGACTTTGGAATTTCTGATGAGTAAAAATGGAAGTAAAAAAAAAACAACAAAAAAAACAACAACAACGAAAACCATGTGAATGTTGGTGCATTTTTAAGGACAGTATATAATTACTTTAAAATATCAGAGGATTATATAATGTCAGAGTGGCTCGGTGGTCGATTGAAAAGGAAATGTCTTATTCATGAGTGAAACACTTTTAGATTAAAAAACTTTATTCAAAACACAATTACACAAAGAATCAACACCGTGCGGATTATAAATGTTTATTTTTTTCAAATTTTTTTTTTTTAAAGTGGTCAGCTTAGCTGACTGAACACACCATTTGGTGATGGCAACCGCTGCATCACGTGGTTGTCACTGCAGCATCACGTGGTTGTCATTGCCGTATGACGTCGTGTGATTCAATCAGTCCCAAAATACCAGACTTATTTTGAACATTGCCAAACCCATCTCCATCGAGAGCATCTGAAATCAAATGTTTGCTTACATTACATTTCCACAAGTTGTTAGGTGTTTGGAAATATTGTTCATTAAGGTCATTAAGGTCGTTGTAAAAAAAAAAAATAAAGAGGCTTCTTAATTAATTGCTCCTAACAAAAAAATTTTTTTAAAAAAAATTAAAAAGCTGCTAAAATGACATGCTGTTAGTTCAAATTTATTATTAAGACTTTTAGATTTGTCTCATGGCAACATCTTTAAAAATTGAAATAGGAAACATTTTGTTTATTGACATAATTATTTTAAATGCACCAATCCTGATCAGTTCCTCTCTCCGAAATACACGACAGGTTGGGAAATATTGAGTTGGTGAGTAGGATAACGTGGCTTCATTTCTTTGAACAAATGTACAGAGATTACAACCCACTCATTACAGCCTGTTCATTACAACCCAGACATTACAACCCAGTCATTACAACCTGTTTATTACAACCCAGACATGACAACACAGTAATTACAACCCGTTCATTAAAACCCATTCATTACAAGGCACTCATTGCAACCCAGTCATTACAATTTCGACCAACCTTTCAGAGTGTTCTTGCAGTCCACAACTGGTTCAACCTGATTGATTTTCTTACTTAGAGGGGACAATCGCTCCCTCACGGTGATCTGATGGACATTTGATGACCTGGTGTCCTGGAGATGTAGATCAGATTTAAGTAGGTAAAAATAGTCGATTTTAAGAACCCAAAATGACGTGTAAAATAAGGATCATAGTTTGATAGAAAAACAAATACAGAGAAGTGGCTTGCTGGACAGTTGAACGGACCTAACATTACCTAAAGAAGTAGGACAACAAAATTGATGCAGAATTCAAAATGGACGGTTAAACGAAAGAATCACGTGATCAGTACAACGCTGATAGAAAACACAATGTTTAAAGTACGCAGTCAGGTGACATATTAAACTTTAATAAATTACGTCACGAAAATCGTAATGACTTGCAAACGGCAATTTAAAAAAAAATAATTCTGTTTACCGATGAAGACGGCCGACTGCCGGAACTTGTGGATGAACTGCCGAAATCTCCTTTCTGTAGAGAGCGTCGCTCTCGTAGCCTCTTCAGTGCCTGCCTCACCTGCCAGGTGAGATATGTATCCAGTTACACATAATGATTGTCATATAATCTCTCAGAGCTTTCATTTATAGTCTGGGTTATTGAAGAGTTACATAATAGAACTCAGTTTATCTTTAAAAAGTAGTAAGTTATGCCATCACTTCAAATGGTTGAATCTTTTTTTCAGTTCACACGTTAAAATTTTGCTTCAAATTTCTTTTTGAACGCATTATTTTGTCTTACGTTACAGTATAGTGCTTTCAAAAAGAAATTTGACACAAAATTTTAACGTGTGAACCAGAATAAATTCACTCACCTCTGTATTTAAAGCGCAGTGAAATAAAAATATGAAGAATCCCTGTTAGGAAACGGAACAAATGAAAATAGAAAAACATTAAAGTGGAAACTGTTAAAAGTGTAAATGTGCAGTTCTTAAGCTAATACTAGGCGTAATAAATAGTGTGTTTTTTTTTGGGGGGGGGGGCGGGGGTGATGTTGGTGGTGGTGTGTTTGTTGCTCCATTGTATGCATGAAAGAATATATAGAAAATACATAAGTGCATACATAAGTGGAAACG